ATACTGTCGGAGTAACTTCTTCAATGGGGGATGCCATTTATAGTGCCTCTAAAAGAAATAATGAAGTGTTTTTTGGTCTAACTAGTGGTTCATAATATAAGGTGCCTGTACATCTTTAAGGTATTTTTAATAGTTTTAAGCTTCCCCAGTAGTGTAAAGTGTCTAATATCCTTATCCCACGTCAAAAGTGATTTTTCTAAATGAAGTCGTTTTTGCTTTCCAAGGGGATCTGAATTCTTCCCATATTAATTTATGTTGGGGTTGATAAAACTCCACCAGATTAAGAAAGGATGACAGTGAAATCAAGTGGTAAAACAGAATGAGTCAGTTGGTTCATTTGGGCTAAGCCCTGCTAGGAATATAGCCTGTGCAACCAGCACATGGGCCTGCCAGATTTCTCCTAGCAGACAGCCAAAGGCAGATGGCGGAGAATGTGATTGGCTTTGTAGCTATTTCTATGCGGGGTTTCTCACAAGTGGTGGGGACACTCTTTGCACCAGAATTGTCTTCTCTCAGGAGATTTGAAACCTGATAAGCCTGCAGAAGTGCTCAGGCTGGAGCCTGGAGTTTCTGAGGATTCTCCTGTCTGTTGAAGTTTGAGAATAACTGCTCTGTCTGCCACTAAAATAGCTCAGGGAGAGTTACTGGGGAAAAGTCACCTCCCTTGGTTTCTGTTACCATGATACAAGGCACCTTAATCTGCAGAAGTGAGAACCACTTCCAAATTGGCTCATTTCCTCCTGGGCAACAGCTGCAGCTCCGAGAGAGTCACCCAATTGAGTTATCTGGGACAAAAAACACACTGCGAGTCAAGGTGGTGATGGATTGGACGTTGGAAAGAATATTAAGCCAGGAATTAGGAGATCTCTGACTTTCAGCAAGTCATTCTGGACCATGATTTCTTATTTGTAAAAGGAGAACACTTTATGGCCTGCCTCACTGGCTACTTCTGATTTACAGAGGTGTGAAGAACACATTGCCAATTCCAAAGTTGATAGATGACTAGTACGGGCGTACTTAGGAA